AGTATAGACATCAACCATACTATGTAAAAAGTATGCTTAAAGGTAATAAGGACATGACAGGCAGGATAATGGTGAAAAGTAGTGCAAATCATTCAAAAAGCGTTTCTAAAGGCTTTAAAGCAGTTTTTTTCATTCTAAATCCATGTTGTTTTGGGTGGATTGAAAAATGCAGATTTCACATTTGTAATTAATCTCCTTTCTCTGTTGATTTATCGATACTGAAAGCCACTCTCAAACAGCACTTAAGTAGCTCCGTCTTTGCAATAGTGATATAGATCACAGGGTCTTTTCTAAAACACACTCACGTCAGAGGTCCCTCGCTTACAGATGAGTTTTCTTGTTTTCTGTTCTCAGCTCACTGCTGGTCTATCCCCTGACACCAAAGCCCACCTCTTTCTACTCTTTAAGACTTCATTTAAAATGCAGTCAAATCCCAGCACTTTTGACTTGCTGCACAACTCACGTCGGGTGTGACGGACACTCGGCCTCTGCTGTTTGCACAAAATCCTCGATGAAAAATAGATGAGAATTAAGTTCCTATCTCTGCTGGCAAGGCTTTTTGTCTGTCCTTACCGGGCTATTTGCACACCGTTCAATATTTCTCTCTGTGAGAATCCAATCTCATAGAGAAGATCCAAAGCTTACTCAGTGTGTGTGTGAGTGTGACTATATATGTCTATATATTTATATCTGTATGTGTGTTATATGCTGCAAAGGAAACAGCACATTTTTCTTTTAAGAGGGAGGAAGGTTTTAAAAAGAGGAACCAAATTTTGCATTTTTTTTGTATGTTTGCGAACATCCGAATACACCTGCTTCCAGCTGTGGACAAACATGCATAATTTATGAACATACATGCAGATACAAAGGCGCAGTACACAGTTGAGCGACACTGCAAGCATCAAGGTGCGAAATCTGCATCTCGAATCATTTGGGATTTGAGCAGCTCTCTTCAGACGAGAGAGCTAAGCCCTGAGCTGAAATCTCATGCAGCCCTCATTCTCATCCCCAGGTTGGTGAGATAATTGGTACTGTAATTTTTTTCTATTTTTTGGTATCTCTGCATATAAATATATATTTGCCTGGATGCAGTGGGGTTTCATTTTCTCCATGGGAGACAGAATCACCCTCTCTGTGCTGAACCCAAGGTTTTTGAATACCTACATAAGTGGTTTTCTGTTACTGATGTCTGACACATAAAAGGTGGTTCACTTGCAACCTTGAAGGGGTTTGGGGGTTTTATAAGTGTTTTTCAACCCAGCATTGCAATGAAAAATGTAGAGAGATGCAGAAAAAAAATAAAATGAATGTCTTTAAATTTTTGCAAAAAAAGGTCACAAGTATTTTTTATTTAATCGGCCTATTGCCAATAATTTTAGTCATTATTTTAGTCATTATTTTCCTTTGTATACAAAGGGATTTGAAAAATATATATTTTATCTTTTTGTATTACCATTATTTGAAGGTAAAAGGTTTTCTTAAATTCTCTCTGAGCCTTTTCCCTTAAAGAACTGATCAGAACTTACAGTGACTTGCAAAAAGTTTTAGTTCCATAAAAAGTGATTAAATCAATTATAAAACTCATTAAACTGTATTAAAAAAATGCAAGTATATATTTAATTTATTTTATACAAATGTAATTCTGACCTTTTACATTTATTGTAAAAAAAAAAAAACCCTCAATATTATGTGTTAGTTTCTTTCAATTTATTCTGCTGGCTGGATTATATACACAAAATACCCACTGAATACATTAAAGATTTTATTTATATCAGGTAAAAGGTTTGTCTTTAATGACTTCCATAAAATATATTTAACTGTTGAGTTGGTGTAAACTGAAAACTAGCTTCAAAATACATTGAATTCAATTGCAGAATTGGTGTGCACCATTTCACACTCGCAAAATATTTTTTCTGATGTAATAATGAGTGTAGAATATTTCAAGTTCAGTGGATAAATGCTCTGCATTTCCGTATTATATTTTTCCAGTTGGATATGCTTTACCCACCCTTAATTTCTATCAACAATGAAGTTGATCTGTGTTGGCTCAAATGCTAAAGCACTTAGAGAGAAGTTTAGACATAATATAATTATAAAGAAAAAACGTTTGAGGAAGACGTGAACTTAACAGAACACAGCTTAACATAACTGTAATACAAAAAACAAGAATTTAAATTAAAAATATTTGTTTCACATGTAACTGCTTTTTATTTGAAAACATAAAATCTTGCAATATTGAATAAGAAAAAAATCTTTTAATACAGAAAAAATACAAAAAGGTCGAAGGTCTTTTGAACACAGGTTACTTCTAAAGTCTAAAAAATTAGACAATTAAATATTTCTTACTACTTTTAATACTTTTTTTGAGCCTGTAGTATCCTGCTGTCTTCCATAGATTGTAACAAAATGTTTGTTTCAAAACAGTGTTGCCTTAAAAATGGTGACGCAGATACCAAAGGTATCAACTATATATATATATTTTTAATTCTCTCCATTGGAAATATTTCTAACCAACCTTTTATAATGACAGCAAATCTTCTTATTTAAGTTAGGTTCTGTACTTCAAATGAATAGAGAGGGTCAATGGCGCCATAATAATAAAGAATAAACCCCTTTAATAGACTGGAAAATGTTTCTTTTGAGGAGGTCGTGGTTAAAATTTTGTCGAACAGCATACCCGACCGACAACTGGCCAATGCCTGTTTTTATGGTATATTTGATGGTAACATGTTTTTCCAAACAGATATGAAAGACAAAACAATATTTTCCATGAATCATTATTCAATTCCCATTTGGTTGTTATGAGTGAACCATTCTTAAAAGCCTCTTGTGCATTTCTATTCAGAACATCAAAGCTTTATAAGGCGTCAGTCATTGTGTAGGTATTTAAAGAACTTGGCAGCAGCAGACTGTTCACCTCATAATGAAGGCACAGCCACAAAAACTAGTTTGTGGGTTTCATATCTTATTTTCCTCCCCCTGGGTTTCTTTTTATTTTTTTTTCTTCTTTGCAGTCAATTAAAGTTAACTGGAGAGCTCACTCCCTTGAGATACGTTTTTAGCATGTGGGATTTGGCTTTGGTGGTGTAGAAATGACAGGATGGTTGTTGACCTGGTTATGTGGTTCCTTCCATTGTTTTTCTTTACAATAGCCATATCCCAGAGCTTTAACCTTTATGAAAACTTAACAGCACTGTGGAGAAAACCGGTGGAAAGTGATTATAACCTTTTAAATACACTTTAAAATTCCACTCACAGTGCTGTTGACTTTTCTATAGGTCTCTACACAAATGAAGGCAATTGTAAAGTGTTCCGGGTTTTGTGGAGTTCTTTGATCATATTATTCTGTGATTTATGTCTCAATGATCCTGGCTAGGACAGGAGAGGAATAGCACCGGTATGCTATTCCAGTGCCTTTCCCTTTGGTTCCTTTTGTTCTTTTTCTTCGATTGCTTAAAAGAAAGTCACATTCTCTCCCTTTCATTGTCCTCCTCTCATCTCTCATGGATTTCAAAGTGAACAGACATCCAGAGATCAGTAAAGCAAGGGATCAGTCATAGATGAAGAATGGCAGGGGGACAGTTGAGGAGACGTTAAGAGAGCGAATACTCGTGAAAATGAATGAATATAAAAGAGTTTGGTGAAGAGGCGGTGGGGGGAGGGTATGGTATAGGTCGCTAGACAGCTAAAAGGGCCAACAAATAATCAAGATGAGAGGCAGGAATGTCGCTTTGATATAGATGGCAAAAAGAACACAAGCAAGAGCTGTCATACCCCAAAGAGACGAGCACAATTCAGGAAGACATGAAAGAGGAGGAGAATGCGACTTTGGGGTTTTTTAATTTGACATCTGTTCTATCTAATCTCTCTGATGTGTATCCTCCTCATGGAAGAGATACAGTATGTCCTTTTTTTTTTTTTTTCCTGTTTACCGACTTTTAAAAACTGAGTGATTGTCTTAATGGCACCAGAATTTTGGAGGGAGTTCAATCTATTGTAATGGTTTTTAAAGTTGTGTCTTGGGCTCAGTGTGACTGTGCTTGAGTGAAATTTGACGGAGAGCACAGTCTGTAAGAAATCCAGTGATGATGGTTAACAGAGGCATTCACATGGCTTGCTGTTTGCCAGATAGAGGGCAGAACTGGAAGAAAACCTATTACAGGGAAATAGTCTTGATCCTGGGGTAGCGGTTAACCTTTCAGTCGGACAGCGACTCCACATATACAGTGGTGCCACCAGGGAGTGGCCACGGCCACCAATAAGCAACACCCTGGCCACAAATGTGACATAAGATTAAAAAATGACATCATAAACCAAGACACGACTAGATGTTTATTTAAGTCTTTATGATTTCTGCAGACACGTTTACCTCAATAGTAGATTCAAACCCCAAAATTATGGCTTTTACTTTCAGTGTGCCAGCCAAAGATTTTTAATTGCCCAGTCTGGCCTCCCCTATGAAATATTTCTGGAGGCACCATTGCATATATCAAAGAATATCCATGTTTACAATTATCATTAGAGCTACTAATGCAAAAAAAAGCAAAAATCTAAACTAAATTCTAAAAATACGAGCTGATTGAGAATGCTTCAGAAATATATACCACATATCGAGGATATGTGGTATGTATAATATACATATAATTGGAATATTCTGCTACCCTGCAGAGAACCACACTTTAAAATAGTGTGCTGCTCTCTGTTATATGACATAAAAAATCAATTCTGATTCGTGGGAAAACTTTTGCATGATACTGAATGAAAGACAGAAAGGATCAACTAGATCTCTAAGAATTTGCGTGCTGAAAATTGAACTCCCTCCAATGTTCTAGTACAGACATTATTGACAAATGAGGTTATCGAGTATATTGACCAAATATTTTAAAATATCTGATGCATTAAACTGTTTAACATGAATTCTCCTTGGATGCAGATACTTGCATCACATATCTGACAGAACAGTAATTTAATACAGTGTGTTTTCTTTTTTCTGTGGCCAGTCTCACCACCACGGAGATTTCGTTTCAAAGTTTTGGGACAGAACAAGCTCGAGGTATCATGGAAAGAACCAAAAGGAAATTTTGAAGGCTACAAGCTCCTTTACACCACACGTCCAGGTAAGAACGAGGACTGAGACTTAATATCATTTTAATCTTAATAGACGTGTATTGGTATTATGATCTTGTTCTTGTGTCCTGGGTTAAGTATTTTCAAAAGCATGTGTTTATAATGAAGAGTAGTGATCTAGTGGTGTGAGAAGATGACATTTGCATTTTGGTTATAATGTTATTGTTTAATGTGAGGTTTGGCTCCTTTAGAAAGCAGAAGTTGCTCACTGTTTCCTAAGGGATAAAGGGTTAAATGCAGTGAGCAAATTCTGTTTGGCACTGACAAATAAAAGGGATTGGTTTATTATTAACAAATGTGAAATTAAAACTAGACAGACAACAGAATCATCCTGCTTCAATGTTTCACTTGCAGCTGCCTGATAAAGAAAAACTCAGTAAACTGAGTGTCACATTTTTCCTTCATTCAAAAAACTTTCTGGTTTCAACTTGATCAGTTCAAAGAAATATGAGAGAAAATCTTAAAAGATATTCTTCTCTTGTCCAGTCCTGCCTGTTGCCTGCACTGTGAACCCTGCTTCATACCCAGTAGCTCAGTAATGATTTCTCTGTGACAGCTTGATTGGCTAAAGCCTTGCTGAAGGGCTCCACAGTTGTAAGTGCATAAAAAAAAATCTCACTCTTTAAAAAAAAAAACTCTATTGTATGCAGATTGTAAAGAGATTGTATCTTTTATAGAAATCTTAACATTAATACAGTTTATTAGTAGATGAGTTATTTTTTTGTCTTTTCGTGGTTCTCTAAAATGTTGGTAAGCACCGGGGAGAGCAATGCTGAAACTCTATTCCCTGAGGGCGAACTAATCATTATTTTCACGTGGTTTTTCACGTATGTGGGAGTTCATAACTCCCACATAACTCTTAACGAAAAAGTGACACATTACCACAACCTGTACAGGTTATAATTGATACTTTGGATAATTTGGCTTCCATGGTAAAATTGAGCGACCGACTTCAGTTAAAACAAAACAATGTAGCTTCCAAGTGACTCGTTTGCAAATTGGTGAAATACTTATTGGTTAATCATCCAAGAAAGGCTTTTTGGAGCAAAATTACAGATAATGCCAATACAGTAAAATGTATTAAATCATTATATATTTTAGTTCCAAATATTAGAACCATTTTATTAATTTGTGATCAATTGCAATAATGCATAGTGATTAAAAACAAACCTATATTTCAATTCAATTCAATTCAATTCAGTTTATTTATATAGCGCCAAATTCACAACACATGTCATCTCAAGGCACTTTACAGTTCAACCAGATCATACAGTCAAATTGATACAAAGTTTTCTATCTAAGGAAAACCAGTTGATTGCATTGACTCATTGACTCAAATACAATCCCCCACACTAAGCATGCTTGTAGCGACAGTGGAGAGGAAAAACTCCCTTTTAACAGGAAGAAACCTCCAGCAGAACCAGGCTCAGTGTGGGCGGCCATCTGCCGAGGCCGACTGGGGTTCAAGGAGACAGAAGCAGAGATACAAAAAGCAGCTGTAAAAGGCGGCCCCGTCCAGGAAACACACAGCCAGGCAGACGAGCTCCAAGGCAGCTCCCATGCCAGAGGACGAAGAGAGCACATCCACTCAGTCACGGTCAGAGAAACAGGACCACACTGGAAAACAGGCCGATCTCCAACATCTATTAACAAGGGTGTTGATAGAAGCAGCACAGCTGATGTTTTTTTCCAGGATGACGTCACAGCCAAACAGGAACAGACGAGGCAAAGCTACTCTGAGGAAAAGCAGAGAGAGCAGAAGGTTAGAGATTGAACTAACAGATTCTGCAGAATAGGAGAACAGAGAGAGAATGAAGCAGAATGATGAAATGGGGGTCCCTATGTCCTCCAAAAGTCTAAGCCTATAGTAGCATAACTATAGAGATAGCTCAGGATAACCTGAGCCACCCTAACTATAAGCTTTATCAAAAATGAAAGTTTTAAGCCTAGCCTTAAAAGTAGACAGGGTGTCTGCCTCACGGACTAAAACTGGTAGTTGGTTCCACAGGAGAGGAGCCTGATAACTAAAAGATCTGCCTCCCATTCTACTTTTAGAAATTCTAGGAACCACTAGTAAACCTGCAGATTGAGAGCGAAGTGCTCTGTTAGGAACATAAGGAACAATCAGATCTCTGATATAAGATGGAGCTTGGCCATTTAAGGCTTTATATGTGAGAAAGAGGATTTTAAATTCTATTCTTGATTTAACAGGAAGCCAATGAAGAGAAGCCAGGATAGGAGAGATATGATCTCTCTTTTTCATTTTCATTAGAACTCTGGCTGCAGCATTTTGGATCAGCTGAAGGCTTTTAACTACAGTTTGTGGACTTCCTGATAGTAAAGAATTACAATAGTCCAGCCTTGAAGTAACAAATGCATGGACTAGTTTCTCAGCATCACCCCTGGACAGGATATTTCTAATTTTTGCAATGTTCCTCAGATGAAAGAAGGAAATTCTAGAAACCTCTTTGATATGGGATTTAAATGACAGGTCCTGATCAAAAATAACACCAAGATTTTTTACTTTATTATCTGAAATCAGTTTAATCCCATCCAAATGAAGTGACTGGCTAATCAGTTTCTTTTTCAGAGACTCTGGTCCAAAGACTATAACTTCTGTTTTGTCTGCATTCAGAAGCAGAAAATTAAGAGTCATCCAGGTTTTTATGTCTTCAAGACATGCCTGTAATCTATGTAATGGGTTAGCTTCATCTGGATTTATAGACAGATATAGCTGGGTATCATCAGCATAACAGTGGAAATTAATCCCATGCTGTCTAATAATTCTACCAATTGGGAGCATGTATAAAGTAAAGAGAATTGGTCCTAGCACTGATCCCTGTGGTACTCCACAGGTAACCTTTGAGCGTGTTGAAGATCTATCATTAACATGAAAAAACTGAATTCGATCAGATAGATAAGATTTAAACCAGTCTAGTGCTGTTCCTTTAATTCCAACAAAATATTCAAGTCTTTCTAAAAGAATATTATGGTCAACTGTATCAAATGCAGCACTAAGATCCAACAGGACGAGCACAGATACAAGTCCATTATCTGAGGCCATGAGAATATCATTAGTGACTTTCACCAGAGCTGTTTCAGTGCTATGATGAGCTCTAAAGCCAGACTGAAACTCTTCAAAAAGTTCATTATGGTGGAAGTGATCGCAAACTTGTTTGGCAACTACTTTCTCAAGAATTTTGGATAAGAAAGGAAGATTGGATATAGGTCTATAATTGACCAAGTCATCTGGGTCAAGAGACGGTTTCTTAAGCAGAGGTTTAATTACAGCAATCTTAAAAGCTTTAGGTACATATCCCTGTAACAGAGATAGATTAATCACATCTAAAATGGAGGAGGAGATCAAAGGGAATACCTCCTTAAATAACCTGGTTGGAACTGGATCTAACATACAAGTTGAAGGCTTAGATGAAGACAATAATTTTGCTAATTCAGAGAGTTCAACTGGATCAAAGCAGTCTAAACCCGGTTCAGATTCCATGACTACCTCAGGTACAATCGCGGATAGAGGAGTGCTTATGATCTTATTTTTAATAAGATCAATCTTATTTATAAAGAATCCCATAAAATCATTGCTGCTAAGAGCAGGTGGAATGGACGGTTCAACAGAGCTATGGCTCTGGGTGAGTTTGGCAACTGTATTAAAAAGAAATCTAGGATTATTCTTATTCTCCTCTATTAATGAGGAGAAGTATGCTGCTCTTGCTTTACAAAGGGTCCTCTTATACAGCAGTAAACCATTTTTCCAGACTAGGAAGGACTCTCGCAGGCCTGTGGAGCGATATTTTCTCTCCAGTTTCCTAGCATTTTGCTTCAAAGTACGCAGCTCTGCATTAAACCAAGGAGCAAGCTTTCTATTTTTAACGGTTTTCATTTTCAAAGGAGCTGCGTTGTCTAAGGCAATACGCAGAGAACTAGCAACCCCCTCAACAAAATCATCAACCTGTGAAGGGGAATAAGCTAAGCTTTTGTTTCAGAATGACAATAACATAATGAGGCTATAAAAACAAAACAAAAAAAAACCCAAACCTTTAAATATAAAGCATTTCGGGCTGTAGAGAAGAATTTGTATTTTTTTAATGCTTTTAATACTGCATACAGGGTTTACATACCAATATATTGTGATCTTAAAGGCATTGTTCTAACCTATAATTTTCTACAAACTTAACATGAATTGTGTTTTAATAAAAACAACAATATTTCAGAAAAAAGGATAGTTGACTTGAAAGTTAATCATCGTATTAATTAAAACTGTCCAAGGCAAAAAAAAAAAATGATTTTTTTTTTTTATGAGAACACAACGTTTTTATTCTCATCACTCTTTGTAATCTTTTGAACCCTTGATGGCAGATTAAATGACCGAAAAAGAGCATCTGTCCCACTTATTAAGAGTAATTTGTTAAATTGACTGAGCCAGACTAAAAAAGATACAAATGTTCTGCTGTATTTTTAATTTAAATAACATTTTCATACAATTTAAGTTTTTATTCTCGGTAACAAAAGTCTATGTAGAAATCCTTTTTTATATCTTTCAAATCATTTCCTGCTTCACGATACTGATTCAATCTAAAGGCTTTACTTTTCTGCATGTCAACTTCTCCAGCTACCTGATAGTGACTCATTCCCCCTTTGTTTTAACCTCATGGCCTTTTTATTCATTAAGCTACAGTCCAGTTTGGCTCATTTAGTTATTTTCTCAAGATCATATTGATTAAGATTAAGATTTTTTATTTATTTTTTTAAGATTCATTCTCTGTCTGAATTTGATGCATATGAGAAATACTGTTCATATAGCTCCTTTAGTATGTAACATTTCAAACAGCAAGTGTTATTGGGGTTTGAGTGAAGTAGGCCAATTCAAAGTAGCTCATAATAATCAAGAAAAAGTGAAAAAAAAACAAAACAAATGGCTTTTATATTACTGGACAACGTTAGTTAGTTCCTGCAGGAAAAGCATCCCCACAGCATT